GGTGTTGGCTGGAGGCGGGAGGAGGTGCAGCCTGTGCTGCGGTGGAGTCGCTCGCTCGGGTGCGCAGTCTGGCCGGCCTGGAGGCTGGGGAGTCCTGCAGGGCATCGCCATGCCTTCCACCGCAGACGCCTGCTATGTCGAGGTGGAATACCTTCCTGGATTTTGCCAAATTCTCCTCTCAACCCTTTGCTTCCCATTTTTCCAGGCCTTGTGTATCATTCTTCCTTTCTACTCCTGAGAGTCATCACACATAATATCTAATTTTACTTTTTAAGGATTTTAAAGTCGGAAATCTGCTCGGTAAGGGATCATTTGCTGGTGTCTACAGAGCTGAGTCCATTCACACGGGTTTGGAAGTTGCAATCAAAATGGTAAGACTATATTAATCAACTTTTTTTTCTGTACTTTGCAAATAACTAAAGGTCTTCTACTAGAGATGTCACAATTCCGTACTGACCAACCTTTTCTTTGATTATGGTGTAAAGAATACATCATATAAGCAAAAGACAATATGGATAAATTCAGCAGTTCAGATTAAGGACGTTTTGGGGGAGCATTCATTTGCTTAAATGTTTTATCTTCATTAATGTTCGGTAGACAGGTGTGTTTCAGTTAACTAGTTGGAAAAGGGAAAGGAAATTTGGAATAAAGTTTGACTAAAGTTGGATTTTTCTTATGGATAGAACAGTTGTGCTATTAAAGTATTTAAATTGACAGAGGGTATTAGAGTGCATTGGACAGATTTACTTAGTGTCCACTCTACTAGATAAACAGAGGAAGTTGATCTCAAAGACATATATTAAAAATCTTCAAACTATTTTAAATTAAAATATACTTTCTTTTCAAAGATGACTTAGTTCCTTCCTCTGCCACTAGTAATTGAACCCAGGGGTGCTTTACCGCTGACCTACATCCCAGCCCTTTTTTTCTTTTTGAGACAGGGTCTCACTGAGTTCTTGGGAGTTGCCTCAGTTTTCAAGCTTCCTGCCTCAGTATACTGAGTAATTGGAGTATGCCACTGCACCCTGATCAAAGATGGCTTTTAACAATTTATATTTGAAACTTAACCATCAACATTTAAAACTTTTCTGTTTTTTTCAGATAGATAAAAAAGCCATGTACAAAGCTGGAATGGTACAGCGTGTCCAAAATGAGGTGAAAATACATTGTCAATTGAAACATCCCTCTATCTTGGAGGTAAGATACAATTTTATAGAAGCAGCCCAGGATACTGAATTTTTTAAATTCTAATTTATTATACTTTTTTACATTTCAGCTATATAACTATTTTGAAGATAACAATTATGTGTACCTGGTATTAGAAATGTGTCACAATGGTGAAATGAACAGATACCTAAAGAATAGAAGGAAACCTTTCTCAGAAAATGAAGGTAAGCTTCTTTTTTACTTTCCAAAAATGTTTTGAAAAAATGTGCTATTTTATAATATTTAATAAAATGTTTCAGTTGTTACCTTAGGCTAGAAAAGGATCCCGCACACACAATGCTATACTTCTTAAAAACAATTTAAGAATTGCAGAAAGTAAGAAATTTGTTATTTATCCCCCAAAATACATTGTAAATTAAATTATTGGTAGCAATTTACTGTGTGAACTTGCAAATATAGAATGCTTTTTACAATGCCACTGGTGATGGCCATTGAAACCATTTCTTTTAGAAAATGTGGATCTCAGACTGGGGACATACCTCCATTGGTAAAGTGCTTGCCTCGCATGCACAAGGCCCTGGTTCAATCCCCAGCACCACACGCACGCACACGCACATGCACATGCAGGCACATACACAAAAAAAGAAAGAAAATGTGGATCTCCTGAGTACAGTGAATCCCTTCGAACTTATCTCAGCTTCCAAAAACTGTAGAATTATCCACTCTTTAATCCCCTAATTCGATAGAATATTTTGAAGCATATTAATAGACATCCTATTATCTACAAATATTTTAGTATTTATCTTTACAGAATCTGGATGTTAAAAAATGATAATCAAAGTCTTTATTACACTGAGTAATTCCTTACTATAAATACAAAGTCAGTTTCAAACTTCCCTAGTTCCTCAGAAATAATTTTTTACAATTTTTTTAAATATATTTATTTTTTAGTTTTTTTTAGGTGGACACAGTATGTGGTGCTAAGGATTAAACCCAGTGCCTCACGCATGCCAGACAAGCACGCTACCACTTGAGCCACAACCCCAACCAATTTTTTACAATTTAAATCAGAACAAATAAGTTCCATATATTGTCAGACTAAGCTTTTTCTTTTTTTTTTTTTTTCCCCCTGTTAACTGGGATTGTAGATGAGCTAAGAAAGATGGGTTCTGATAATCTTTTTGAGCATTTCAGTCTGTTGAATACAGAATCTAGATGTTAAAAAATGATAATCACAGAGTCTTTATTACACTGAATAATTCCTTACTATGAATACAAAGTCAGTTTCAAACTTCCCTAGTTCCTCAGAAATAATTTTTTACAATTTAAATCAGAATCAAATAAGTTCCATATATTGTCAGACTAAGCTTTTTTCTTTTTCTTTTTCTTTTTTTTTCCCCCCCTGTTAACTGGGATTATAGATGAGCTAAGAAAGATGGGTTCTGATAAGCTTTTTGAGCATTTCAATCTGTTGAAACACAATTTGGTCATATATATTTACTCAGAAATGTTTATGTTCTTTGACTCAAATTCCATTTTTGGAAGTTTATTCTGAAGAAGTAGTACAAATTGAAAAATCCATACACATATTGATGATGATTACTACATTTTTTTCATATGAGACAGAACAAGCAAAAGCAATGAAGGGAAAAATATCAGTTTGAATTAAAATTAAAAACTTCTGTGTACTTTTAAAAAACTTAAAGACAAAGATAGGTTTGATCCCTAATAGCACACACACAAAAGCCATATTTATGCGTTATATATGTGTATGTGTGATATATATATACATACATACACACACACACACACACACACATGAATGACTGGAAATTCATATTTAAAAAGACACACCTAAAAAGATAATCAAATCAGATAGTAGGGAATATGAGCAGACTATCTCATGGCAGAAAAAGTACCAGTAACCAAAAAATATATGAAAAGATGCTCAAACACAATAGTCATCATGAAGGTGCTAACCCAAATAACAAGTATCATTTTTCACTCATTGATTTGGGACAGCCTACTCATTAAAGGATCTCCATGAAAATATAGCCTTTTTTTTTTTTTAATTTGTAATCGTTGATGGACCTTAATTTATATGTGGTGCTGAGAATCATACCCAGTGCCTCATACATGCTAGGCAAGCGTTCTACCACTAAGCCACAATCTCAATTCCAAATATAGCCTTTTAATAATAAAATAGTATGTTTTCTTATTCTTCAGTCCAGTGATTCTATATCTTGAATGTACTATAGAGGAATTCCTGTAACGTTCACAAGAAAACAAGCATGTGTAAGAATGTTTATTGTTGTGTTTTTTTAATCTTGAAATAGCGGTAGTGACCCAAATGTTCAACAGCAATTAAATAAAATATAGATCTATGGTACTGCCATAGAAATGAAATGTAATAAAACTTTAAGAAGCATTTATTACAATATGTCTATAGATTTAAATATACATAAGCAAGCAGAGAAACATAAAAGATTATACACAAACTGTTGATGTGACTACTTTTTGGGAGTGTTTGGGAGATATCAAAAGAAAAGTTAACTTTTTTCTTTTTTACAATTAGTATAGATTTATGGATTGTTCATACAGTTAAAAATAATTTTCTTAATTGTTAGGCAACTCTGGTTATCATTTCCCTAATCAATCCCAATTGTTAATGAAATTTACTGCTCATTATTTGGGAAAAGAAAAGATTAAAATTATTGCCTTATATATTTAACAGAAATTGGTTAATATTATAATACCACAAAAGTTGCACTTTGGTAAATTCTAGCTGCAAGCTAATAATTTAATATTATACTCTAGCATATCTGCCTCTGTTTCACACTGTATTTTATTTTATTTAATTTTTTTTTAAAGGAGAGAGAGAGAATTTTAATATTTTTATTTTTTAGTTTTCGGCAGACACAACATCTTTATTTGTATGTGGTGCTGAGGATCGAACCCGGGCCACATGCATGCCAGGCGAGTGTGCCACCGCTTGAGCCACATCCCCAGCCCTGTTTCACAGTGTATTTTAAATGCTAAATCTTCTCAATTGTAAATTCTCTTTTTTGCATCCTCACAGCTCGACACTTCATGCACCAGATCATCACAGGAATGTTGTATCTTCATTCTCATGGTATATTACACCGGGACCTCACACTTTCTAACCTCTTACTTACTCGTAATATG